GTAGAGACGGGATCTCACTATGTTGCCCAGGCTGGTCTCAATCTCCTGGCCTAAAGCAATCCTCCTACCTGGACCCCCCCAAAGCACTGAGATTATAGGTGTGAGCCACCGGGTCTAGCCAAGAGCTTTTTTTTTAGTGTGTGTGGTTTTTTTTTTTTTGAGACAGGGTCTCATTCTGTCGCCTAGACTGGAGTGCATTGGTGTGATCTCAGCTCACTGCAACCTCCGCTTCCCAGGCTCAAGCGATTCTCCTGCCTCAGCCTCCCGAGTAACTGGGATTACAGGCATGTACCACCACACTCGGCTAATTTTTGTATTTTTAGTAGAGATGGGGTTTCACCATGTTGGCCAGCCTGGTCTTAACTCCTGACCTCAAATGATCCTCCCATCTCGGCCTCCCAAAGTGTTGGGATTACAGGTGTGAGTCACCGCACCTGGCCCGTTTGTTGTTGTTGTTGTTGTTTATGCCCGTTGGCCCAGCCAGCCTGAGTGGGGCGGGATGGCAGTAATGTGCCCCGGCTTTAGAGCCAGGCAAATCTGGGTGCAAACCCTCCTCCTGCCCCTACTAGCTGTGCGACCTCAGCACGTTTAAGCCCTGTATGAGGCCTACATGTGGTTATAGGTACGAAGTTCTTGGTGCATAGCAGGCCCTCATGCAGCTCTCACCATTTTGGTTGTTTGAATTATGTCCACTTTAACCCTCTGTGAGCTCAGGCCAGGCAGGAACCACATTTGTTTTTTTTCTGCCTGCACTGCCTGGCACACAGAAGGGGACGGACTTGTAAGGGCTGACCTATCAATTTTCCTGGGCTGGGCAGACCCAGGCTCCCCTCCCCTCCCTGCCTGGGTGAGGTTGGGGTAGGCCCAAGGGCCCTACACCTGCTCCCTGAGACTGACCCAGCAGGCTGCTGGGTGCCAGCATCCAGCATCAATAAATTACTGGCGAGTTCAGGTGACGGGACAGATCCAGTGTCAGCTTCCTTTGTCTCCTGCAGGGAAACTCAGGCCCTGGGATCCCCCTCCACACACCTCCCCCAACAAGGGCTCCATCAAAATGAGAGTTGTCCACCTACTGTGTGCCAGGCCCCACCTAGGCACTTTGCACTGTATTTCATCAACACTTCGCAAAGATTCTGCAAAGCAGGCACTAACTCCATTTTACAGATGAGGAAACTGAGGCATAAGGAAGGGAAGTGACTTGCCAAAGACAAAATGAATATAAGCAAAAAGGCCCCTGCTTCTCCAATTCAGCAGAAATCTTCCTGGATCTCATTGCAGTGTATAGTCAAAACACACACACACACACACTCAGGGATTTCCATTCATTCATTTGTTCAGTTAACACATATGGGACACCTACTACGTGCCAAGCACTGTTCTGGATGTTGGACATACTGCAGTGAACAGAACAGAGCCCTGCCCTTTAGGAATGTACATTCCAGTAGGTGAGATGAACAGAGACAGGAAACAAATACATATGTATTATAAAGTAAGGTGGCACTGAGTCTATGAGGATGAACCAAGTAAGGAAAGGGAATGGAGGGCCACTGGGGGACTTTTAAGAAAGGCAGTCAAGGAAGGCTCCTCAGGGGAGGTGACATTTGAATGAAATCCCTCGACAAGTTACCTTATCTCTTTATGCTTTAGTTTCTGGAAAAAAGGGGATGCTGGACTCGAGGGGGTCTCAAACTCTGTGAGGTGCACAGAATTTTTTTCCCACTCATTCGTAATTCCACAGACAGCGTGGCGTGGGCCTCTGCAGGACTGGAGACACTTTTCTCCTCCCCTCCACTTCGTCCAGTGCTCCATCCTCCGGTCCAAAGGATCCTTAGGGCACTTAGGGTGGGGCTTCTTGAAGGTGCTCATCTGGGCTCCCCGCTCCCCTGCCGTGCGTTCTCATAGTAACTTTTTTTTTTTGAGACAGAGTCTCACTCTGTCGCTTAGGCTGGAGTGAAGTGGTACGATCTCGGATCACTACAACCTCCGCTCCCCAGGTTCAAGCAATTCTCCTGCCTCAGCCTCCGGAGTAGCTGGGATTACAGGTGCCTATCACCACACCCGGCTAATTTTTGTATTTTTAGTAGAGAGGGGGTTTCGTCATGTAAGCCAGGCTGGTCTCGAACTCCTGACCTCAGGTGATCCACCCACCTTGGCCTCTCAAAATGTTGGGATTACAGGCGTGAGCCACCACACCCAGCCTTATGGCAACTTTTTGTTTTTAATTCTAAACCCATTTGTCATGATTTTTTTTTTTTTTTTTTTTTTTTTTTGAGACAGTCTCACTTTGTCTCCCAGGCTGGAGTACAGTGGCACAATCATAGCTCACTGTAGCCTCTACCGCCTGGGCTCAAGCAGTCCTTCCACCTCAGCCTCCCAAGTAGCTGGGACTACAGGTGCACACCACGACCGCCGGCTAATTTTTTTGTACTTTTTTGTAGACACAAGGTTTGGACATTTTGTCCAGGCTGGTCTTGAATTCCTGGGTTCAAGCAATCCACCCACCTTGGTCTCCCAAAGTGCTGGGATTATAGGCATGAGCCACTGTACCTGGTCTGTCATGATCTTTTTAAAGTCAGCTAGTTCCTGAACTTCACGGGTCAGGTCCCTCTTGTTTATTACTATATTCTCAACACCAAGCATGGCGGCTGACATACAGAAGATGCCCAAACAAGCATCTGGATGATGGATGGGCATAATGACAATAGGAGCTAGCATTTGTTGAGTGCTTATTCTCACGACAGCCCTGTGAGTTAGGGATAATTGTTCATATTCCCATTTTATCGGCATTGAACGCTGAGGCTTAGAGAGATTAGGGGACTCAGTCACTCAACAGCAGAGCCCGTTAGGAGAAGCACAATAAATGCTGATGGATGGACAGATTATGGAAGAAGCATAGTAGCATGGTGGCAAATGCTGTAGACTTCAGTCTAGCACCTGCTTTTTGAGGATAAGCCCATTCATTCATTCATTTGGTTGGTTGCTTATTTATCCATTTATTCAATAATGATTAAGCCTCAGCTCCTGTGCTGGGCACGGGTCGACACAGGTAATGAGGCCATTCTGATTTGCTGTGGTCAGAGCCGGGAGGCGGAAAGCCCAAGGCTCTGTGTGTGAGTGACCAGAGAAAGCCCCTGATCCAACCTGAGAGGTCAGGAGGCCTTTCTAGAGAGGCGGGCACGGAGCAGCGGCTCCGCATGGCTGGCAGACTGCAAGGGGATGCTATGGAATAGGGGGATGGCAGGGGGTGGCACAAACCCTTGATGGAAGGGGCACCAGCACCCAGTGATGGAAACTGCCTCTCCCCAAGGCTCTGGGGCCTCTCTGTTCTTCCTAGCCCTTGGGTGGACAGGCCTCTGTGGGAGCCTGAGTCACTCTGCCCCACCCCAGGCCTGGAACTTCCTGTGGGCACAGTCAGGGCCACCTCACTGTTGCAGGCATTCCCACTCATCTGGGCCCAGGGTCAGAGCTCAGTGAAAGGCAAGTGATCCAGGCCAAATCAGGCAAAGGCCAGGTGCCTAGTTCTGTCCCGCGGCCCTGAGCCTCTTTTCTCCTGTGGGACTCAGTTTGCCCATCTATCAGAGGCACGGTTTGCACTGTATACTCTGAGAACCCTTCATCACCAAGCTCTTGTGACCCAGGGCGTTACTATCCATATTCGGAGTGAGCCCTGGGGGCTTAGACTCACTGCGCTTCGACTCCAGTCTCCCTTGGACACCTGGACTAAGTGTTAAAAAAAAAAAAAATCCAGAGGCCGGGTATGGTGGCTCACACCTGTAATCCCAGCACTTTGGGAGGCCGAGGCGGGAGAATCACTTGAGCCCAGGAGTTTGAGACCAGCCTGGGCAACAAAGAGAGACCCTGTCTCTACAAAAAATAATTAAAAAAAAAATAGCTGGGTGTGGTGGTACATGCCTGTGGTCCCAGCTACTGAGGAGGCTGAGGTGGGAGGATTGCTTGAGCCTGGGAGGTAGAGACTCCAGTGAGCTGCAATTGCACCACTGCACTCAGCCTGGGAGACAGACCCTGTCTCAAAATTTAAAAAAATGCAGAGGATCTCCTGGCCTTTGATTCATGGGGCAGCCTACTTTGTCCTTTGGCAGGTGTCTGGAATGGGAATCAAAAAGGAGCAGCTGCCCCCTGGGACTGTGATTGCATACCCCCAGGAGCTGGGCATTGTGGGAGACTTACCCCCCTCCCCCACCCAGCATGCCCCTCCTAAAGGACCCCAGTGACACAGATAGGCCGAAGACCCAGGATCTGTTTCTGCAAAAGTGGGGATGGGCCGCAGTAGGCCGTTCTCACTCCTTGGCCGTTCTACTCTCCCAGGAGCCCTCAGGGCAAGAGGCTGGGACATGCCGGGTACAGTGAGCTGTCACACAGTGGGGGGAACTCCAGACCTCTGACCTACAAGACCACAGACCTCTGGACCCCTGCAGCTGTCCTCCGCTCCTCACTTCTTCTCTACCCCACAGTCTTGCTGGTTTAAAACTCGCCAGTAGCTCCCATACCAGCTGGAATGCCATCCAAAGTATTTCCCAGGGTCTTCAAGACTCCTGCCCTCCAACCCCTCCTCCCTCACTTCAGTCTCACCACACTGGATGCCTTCCAGCTTCTAGAAAATGCCAATCTCCTTCCCACTTTGGGGCTTTTGCCTTTGCTCTTCCCTCTGCCTGGAATGCAGGACCAGCATGCCTTGGCACCTGTCATTTAAGTCACTGCTCAGATGCTACCTCCTTAGAGGGGCCTTCCCCGATCCCCCTAAGAAAAGCAGCCCCTTCTATGCATTATTTGCTATCACAGCTCCCTCTCTCCTTCGTGGCCCATTCCCTGGGCTGTTGTGATCAATAGCTGGTTTGTTCAATAGCCATCTTCCATACCCATTGGCGCACTCCCGTAGGGCAGGGACCTTAGGGATCCTATGACCATATCCCAAGCCCCTGCTGCACAATGGCTGCTAAACAAATGTTTATTGAATGAATGAAGCACAAAAAGTGTCAACAATGCCTGTCTTCCTCCTTGAATACTTCGAGGCCCCCCGAGGGAGAAAATGGCACTTATTGGGCACCCGTCACAGGTCAGGCACTCTCATCCTGTTGAATCTCTACATCTGTGACATCCTGTCCCGTTATACAGATGATGAAGTAGGGGCTCAGTGACCTGCCTGAGGTCACTCAGCAAAGGTGGAATGATGGCTTCATTCCACCGGGAAGTAGCCAAGTGGGATCTGTGAGCATGAAGAATGCCATGCCAAATAATCGTCAGGACTCACTTCCAAATCTGACTCTACCCGAAGCCCATGTTCTTTACATTATACTATACATTCTGCCGTGCCAGAACTCAGCCCAAGACTGACAACCAGGTTTTTAGCTTCTGAAAGGCAGGCAAAGACCCAGACTGGGTGGAGAAGTGGTCCGGCTTAGTGGTTATTGAAGTGGGTCCTGGAACTGGACGGAGAGACCAGTGCTCATACAAGGACCCCATCACCCAGGCACAGGGTATATTTGCCACAAGTTATCATTACCATTGCCAGGCTAGAGCATCTTTGCTCTCAGGAAGTGTCTGCTGGAAGGATAACTGTCAAGGGACACATAGAAAAACTCAGGGTCTGAGCTTCTTAATAACAGAAGCCCCTGCGCTCCTGGGGCTGGCCTTTGGGTAGTGACTTCCCTGCTCTGAGTGGTCACCTCTTAAAAACGGGCATGCACACCAGCATAGATCCAAAAAGAGCTCTTGGGAAGATAAAGAGGAAAAATGACTGTGGAGTTGTTGGTGTATATAAAGTAACATGAAATGTAAATTATCTAAAAATAATCTCCCATGTGAAATGCAGAGAGAGGTTGGGACTTGGGAGACCTCAAGGGTTCTTTCAGCATTTATTGACACCTACTGTGTGCCAGGTGTTGTGCTAGGGCCTGTGCATATGAGGACGGGTCAGATATGGCCCTGAGCATCTGGAGCTCCCTTTCTATTGGGGGAAGTGAGCCAGGTATTTACAGAGTGGGGCTCTCTCTGAGCGCCGAAAGGGGAAGACTTTGTGTGTGATATGGCAGCAGGAGCCAGGTGTACATGAGCTGAAACCCACCCCTCCTTCCTGCATGACCTTGAGCAGGTCAGGCCACTTCTCCAAGCCTCAGGCCTTCATCTGTAAAATGGGGCCTTCCCCTCTGCCTCTCAAGAGTTGCCAGGACATGTCGCGTAGTAGGTCCTGGGGTGGGGGACTTTGGGATGGGAGAAGCCAGTAGTTCCGAGGCAGGAGACGGTCCTGCACTAGCCAAAGTCTGGGCCTCAGGACTTGGATGGTGAATTGCCTGCAGGAGTGTCGTGGGGACATGGGGTGGATCCCAGGGGACAGCTGGGAGGGAAGTGCAGCAATTCCTCATGAACTGTTAAGGAAGTGGGGGATAGGGGTGCAGAAATCCTGGAAATTTGGCCTGTGCCTTTATTTATGTTGGAATTTAATTAAGGGGAAGGGGACCAGCTAGCTCTACCCAAGGTCAGATCTGCCCAGGTAGGAGGGGGGCGGTGGGGCCACCTGAGTTTACTCAGCAAGAGATTCCAGGTCAAGGCGCACCCGGGAAGGCAGGGTGTCTCAGGATGAGTTTGTGGATGTGTTGAGTGCTTTCTGAAGCCGAGGTGGGATTGGGCTGAGGCCACAGGCGACTTCCCAGGGGGCCCAGGCCTGTCCCAGAGCAGCGGAGCAGGCAAGCAGAGGCAAAGCTGGTCAAACTTCGGGGAATTCAGAGTGAGGCAAAAGGAGAGGAAGTTTGGGGGCCCCGAAGGGCGGCGATGTGGGGTTCCCCCAGGGGAACACTGCTCTTCTGGCTTCGGCTCACGGGAGAGAGGTCAAGCCAGTTGCGGGACCGAGGGACGGGGAGCCTGCCCTACACCTCCCCGGCCGGGCTAAGTGGGGCAGGGCGGCCGGGAGGCCGGCTGCTGGGCCGGGGTCTGCGCCCTACTCCCCGCGGGACCGCCGCGTCCGGGAGGAGCTGGACCTGCGAAGCTCCGGGCCCAGCCCGGCCGGACGGAACGCGGTCCCTGGGCTGGGCACTACGCTCCTGCGGTTCCTGCCCTCTCGGCTGCTGCGGGCGCGGCTGCCCCCGCGCCCCCAGGGGCCGGGCCGGGCGGGGGCTGGGCCCGGCGGGCGGGCGCAGGAGGACGGGGGGGCGGGCGGCGGCGAAGGCTGCGCCGCTCTAACAGGTGGGATCCCGCGGCGTGGTGGAGGCGGGCGCGGGAGGAGGAGGAGGAGGAGGAAGAGCCGCGGCAGCGGGAGCCTGAGCAGGAGCAGGATGAGCCGCGCAAGCTGACAGCCACTGCTGCCGCCCGCGCCCAGGCTCGGTCTCGCTCCCCGCGCTCGGGGCCGCTCCCCGCCTCCCGCCTCCCCCGGCCGCCCGCGGGGCGGCCCGCCCCCTCTGCACCTCCGGGCCCGGAGCTGCCTCCATCGCTCCTGCATCCCGGCCGGGGGGAGGAGGAGGCGGAGCAGGAGGCGAGCCGGAGCCGCCGCCGCCAACGCCGCCGCCGCCGCCGCCGCCCGAGCAGGACAGAGCGCGCCGCAGCCCCGCGCGTCCGGCCGCCGCCCGCGCCCATCCAGCAGCCTCGCCGGAGCCACACCGCGGGACAGCTGCGGCCGCGGCGTGTCCCGGCCCGGCCCAGCCCAGCCCAGCTCAGTCCCGGCACCGGGCGGCCCGGCGGCCGGCCCGCCCCCGAGGGCGCCGGGCGCGGCGGGAGGATGCCGAAGCCGACGCTGCTGCTGCGCGGGGGCTGGGAGCGCGAGCGCAGCCCCGGGGACTCGGAGCTGGGCCGCCAGTTCCGGGACTGGTGCTTGCGCACCTACGGCGACTCGGCCAAAACCAAGACGGTGACACGCAGCAAATACCAGCGGATCGCCGAGGTCCTGCAGGGCGGCGGCGGGACCGGCGCGGGCAGCGGCCCCGCAGCCGGCGAGAAAGGCAAGTTCCAGTTCTGGGTGCGCTCCAAGGGCTTCCGCCTGGGCAGCGGCCGGGAACCCAAGATGGGCCAAGTGGTGTATGTGCCGGTCAAGACGGGCTCGGTGAGTGCGCGCGCGGCGGCCGCGGGCGGGTCCCGCGGCGGGGCTTGGGGCGGTGGGTCCGGGCGGCGCAGGCTGCGCGCCGCGCTGCGCACATGCGCGCTCCCGCCCCTCCCACCTTTGACAGTTTTACTGCGGGGGGGAGGGGGCGAACTCTCGCGTTATTCCCGCGGCCGCTCCGCGGCGGGGAGGGGGCGGGGAGGGGGCGGGGAGGGGGCCCGGCGCTGGCCTGTGGTTCCCCCCCACGCGGTTCCGCCCCCGTCGGCCGGGCCCGCAGTCCGGAGTAGCCAGTTCTGCAGTCCTGGGGCGGGGGGCGTTTTTTGGACAGTGGGGTAAACTGAGGCCCGATAGGGGCGCTGGGCACTGCCCGGAGTCCGGCGCGCACGGATTGAGGCGACCTGATTCCGCCGCGTCCTGGCCCGCGCGGCGAGGGTGGTCTCTGGGCTCGAGACCCTGACCTCTGGCCCTGGGGGCCGTGCACCGGCAAAGCAGGATTCAGCCTCTTTCCAGCCGGCCTTGAGACCACTTTTGCGACTGGCCCCTGGCGGTGCCTGGTGGCTTGAGGCCATGGAGCTTTACTGGGGTCACTGACCATTGGGTCAACCTTTCCCAGCTCTGGGGGCAGTGGTTCTGAACCAGTGCCAGGGCCTTCCCTGCCCCATAGCCTGGGCTTCTGCAGGGGGCACTGGGGTCCGGTGTGGGCTGAGTGGTCTGGAGGCGACGGGGCACTGACAGCACAGGACTTGAGAATTGAATGAGGCAGAGAAAGGTGTAGCTCTCCTAAAGAGGACGGAGGAGGCCCCACACGGGACTAGCACAGGACCCGCAAGAATCTCCCCCAGGAGAGTCTTGTCTTGTCTTGTCTTGTCTTGTCTTGTCCTGTCCTGTCCTGTCCTGTCCTGTCTTTCTGTCTGTCTTTCTTTCTATCTTTCTTTCTTTCTCTCTCTTTCTTTCTTTTTTCTTTTTCTTTCTTCTTTCTTTTTCTTTCTTTCTTTCCTTCCTTCGTTCTCTTCCTTCTCTTCCTTCCCTTCCCTCTCTTCCTTCCTTTTCTCCTTCCTTCCTTTTTCCTTCCCTCCCTTCTCTTCCCTCCCTCCCTTCTTCTTTCCTTCCCTCCCTCCCTTCCTTCTTCTTTCCTTCCTTCCTTCTCTTCTGTTCCCTCCCTCCCTTCCTCCCTTCCTTCCTTCTCTTGCTTTCCTTCCCTTCCTGCCTTTTCTCCTTCCTTCCTTCCCTTCCTTCTCTTCCCTCCCTCCCTTCCTTTCTTCTTCCTCCCTTCCTTCCCTCCCTTCCTTCCCTCCCTTCCCTTTCTTCTTCCTCTCTCTCTTTCTTTCTTTCTCTTCTCCCCTCCCCTCTCTCCCCCTCCCCTCCCTTCCCCTCCTCTCCTTTCTCTCCTTTCTTCTCCTTTCTTTTTTCCTTCTTGAGATAGGGTCTTGCTCTGTCATTCAGGCTGGAATGCAGTGGTGTGATCTTGGCACACTGCAGCCTCTACCACCTGGGCTCAAGCAATCCTCCCACCTCAGCCTCCCAAGTAGCTGGAACTACAGGTGTGTGCCACCTCACCTGGCTAAGTTTTAAAGTATTCATAGAGACGAAGTCTTTCTCTATTGACCAGTCTGGTCTTGAACTCCTGGGCTCAAGCCGTCTTCCTGCCTCAGCCTCCCACAGTGTGGGCATTACAGGTGTGACCCACCGCCCTCTGGCTAGGAGGCGGCCTTTTTTTTTTTTT